AAATACGATTTGAGTGTACATAACCTCACATTCAAGCGATATATAAGATACAGCAGAACAATAAATGTACGTAACGTTTTACTTAATGTATGTAAATATTTTCTTGACGTATGTAGTATTTTAATTGGAATTAAAAATCTGTTTTATCGACATCGATTAAGATCGGCTGTCTCTCCAGCATCGCCTTTTTAAGAACTAAGAGAAACACATATATCAAACATTACCTTCTCCTTTTGTATCTCTGTCTATCATATAAAAAGATAATTTCATTGTTCTTTACTAAAATCGTCTTAACTTCTGTGTCGTTTTATGAACGAGATTATCAACGCTAAGACGACGTATAAGTGCAAAAAGTCTATTTCCGGATGATAATTATAATGACATACGCTTCATTAATCTTTTTCCGAACATCGATGGGCGGAAAATTTAATGTTGGTCTCCCCGAGAAGAGAGGAGACCGGCGTATAATTCGATCGTAAATTATTCTACAACTGGCTCCCCGATGGGGATCCGCGCTTAATCCCTTATTAGCGCGTTGATAGAAATATTTAAAAGATATTACGAAGATGTGTAAATTCATAAGTAATAACTCTGTGAAACAAGAATTACGAGCATGCTGATTTAATAGATTGAAAGCATACAGGTGATCGGATTAAACGACGATTGAATACAATATTTCATCGCTTCAACTATTATAATTGAAGAGTGAAAATCAAATACCAGCTAAATGTCAAGGATAATATTCCGAGTTACAACGGAAAAATATCTCGAATTTATACCGCAAGAGTATCGTCCTTTCATTTAGCGCCTCAAGTTGTTTGAAATTCAGTATTTCAATTTACACAGTTTTCTCTCTCTTTGTAACTCAGAATATCACATTAGTTTACGAATTATTTCAATTTGGCGTGAAAAACTCATTGAAGGAAAGAAATCGTCGTATCGACACGGACATTGTGGCTGTCGCTGCGCGGAAACCGTCCCGATTTCTCGCGCTTATATCGAAACGCAATTAGTACGGACCGTGGCGTTGCACGGCACAACGAAATTTAAACCGCGGAGCGGTTTAATGCTCCTTTTATGCGTGCCGAAAAATTGACACCCGAGTCCTCGCGCTTTAATGCCACGACATTAAGACGATCTCAATGGACGATCACCACATGGAATACCGTGTGGGACGGGACGGAAGGCCCCGGCACACATTATAAGTCGTGCCGCCTCGTGCGGGTATCTCGTGAAAGGGCGAAGATAAAGGCCAACGGTCCAGGAGCATAATTAAAACGCGTCGGACGTCTCGCATACGGAGACGAAGAGAAAGGTGGCGATGGCGTGGGTGAGAGAATGATGAGAGACGAAAGGAAAAAGCGAAACTCACAAAAGTATGAAAATTGTACACGTGTTATTTATTCCCTGCGTCGACGAAGCGACGAAACAAGCAAATATTAATTCAAGCTGGTGTTTTGATAAAACGTAACGGCGCTGTATATGTAATAAAAACCCATGTAGTTCTTACTCTTATTGAAAGATCTTTCTATTTCAATCCAAATGGTTTAATTCTTCTTAAAAAAAAATAAATAGTAAAACCCATGTAGTACTATCTTTATCCTCATATAATGACATATATCATTTGTATAAAAGATCTGATATTAATAGTCGGCGTCAAGTTAAATTTTACTATCTTGAAAAACCTAAGAGGTACTATCCTTACACTTACTTAATTCTAATGACATGTATCATTGGTATAAAAGGTCTGATATTAATAGTCGGCGCCAAGTTAAATTCTAATAATATCTTTAAAAACCCATGTGGTACTATTCTTATTAAATTCTAATTAATTAAATAATAAAATCCATGTAGTATTATCTTTATCTTCATATACAATGAAACCTATGTAAGTACCATACATATATGTCTTTATATTCTTATTGAAAGTTCTTCCAATTTCAATCCAAATGGTTTAAATCTTCTTTACAAAAATAAATATTGAAAGACCTTCCTATTCCAACCCAAGTAGATTATTTGATAAAACGTAACGGCGCTGTATATGTAATGTATCAAAAGTTGCGGACCGGTGAAAAATCAGAGAGACATAAATGCATGTATAATATATAAGAGCAGAAAGCAGATATATCGCATAACAAACGAGAGATAAGTGAACAGAGAATTGAAAGCACAAACGGAACTCGATTCCCGCTTGTGATAGCAGATCTTGAATCATACGTGTTAATAGCCGCTCTTGTCTTTTGTACCATGACCGTGCTCGCGCAAAATCAAAATCGAACGACGCGCGTATTCACGGTCGGTTATTTCATTATTCACGAGGATAATTCAGCCGCGATCAAGTCCCGATTGCGTTGGCAAGAACATGACGCTATTTCATCTGATTAACACATCGCGTACTTTTTAGCTCTTCAGCCGCGGTACCTACGCTACGTACGATCGGAGATTATTTCAACACCGTACCGTCGTCGGAAAGATTCGTCTGTGCGCGGACGTGTCGTATTAATCTATCCGAGTACCGCCATTAGGCGCGATGAAAAGCGGAGCTTACATGAATATTCGCGTAAAGACGTATTTTTGTGCTGTTAATTAAATAACCTTAGACGGAGGGTGATAAGGCTCGTAAAAAGTACCGTTGATTCTCTTTTTTTCACCACCACTGCCTATATATTCTAATCTCTTTTCTGCAGAACGGCATAATTGCAGAATTTATTTTAAAGGACACACACAAGTCACCAGTTTTAATCAAAATATTATACTAAAACACTTAACTTCGTACAATAACAGGAATACTGCGCGATAATCTTATTATCCTCTCTCGGTGGAATTAAAAATTGTAGATATCGCGAATGAGATCGATCTGCATCGCGAACGCGTTTCTCGGCGACGAATGATTTGTCTCGAGGTTACCGTTCATCGCAATCGGCTTTTTTCCCTGATCGCGAGAAAGAGACAGAGGGAGAGAGCGAGAGAGAGGTCGAACAATCCGACGCGACGTTTCCGCCTCTCGAGGAGGCGTTACCGTGGTAACAGTACGGGTCCGACTCGAGACTCGATTAGCAAAGAAAATACGAGAGGATCTCGGAAACCTCCCGCTACACAGGATCGATCTGCGGCCGAGAGGCTTTTAAGACGACCGCGACGCCTCATTGTCTTTAGCAGAATGGCGAACGACTCTCGCGCGCGCTCCTCATCCTTGTATTTCCAAGCGGGGGTGGTTTCCCTCCTACCTCCCTCCGCTCCCCCCCCCCTCCCCCCCGCACCTCGCAATTGCGAGTCAATAGGCGATAAACACGATCGTCTGCTTCCGAAATAACGCGGGTTTCTCTCGGTGACATTTATCGAGTCGACCTCCCGTTTTCCGCTACTTCCGGCACGACTTCA